AAATATTTGCTGCAATCTCTGCATAGGCATCAGGAAGGGCATCTGGCCAGTAAATGCTCAGCTCCATTCAGTCGCCCTGACTTCACCCCGAATAAAGGGATTAAAAGTGTCATTAAAAAAAATAGACTAACACTGCTCTCTTCCTTTGTCATTTGCAATGAAATTTCTCTTGATTTCCAAATCATTCCCTTTGGTAGAGGTTAAATAATTGTGTGTAACCTGGTCAGTATTGCTGAAAGTGATATTCTGATCTGAGCAACAGTTAGTAAAGCAAGTTTTTTTTTTTTTATAAGAGAAAGGACATTTACAGGAAATGCAAAGCCTGGCACCTAATTGGTGACATCATAGCAGGAGGTGAGTCAAAGAACATGTATTCTGAATATATGTGGATGCCTGGGAACCAAGGCAGAAGGACGTAACCTGAGATTAGCAAACTATTGTGCAAAGCACAGGCAGAATGAAAGTGGAACTCTCCTTAACTCTCTGTTATAACCCATAGATAGCCCTTTTGTAGTCAAGTGTTAATGCCACTGAATTTTCACTTTCAATTCTCATTTGATTATTTTCAGTTACCTCCTTATTTAAGTGCAACTCCTTGTTTCTTCTTGCTGTTCCCTGGAATGCAAAGTTGTTGGGCAAACTTCCTGTTTCCTTTGCTTCTAACCTTTCTTCGGTTATTTTCAGCATGTCAGCAGGCAGCCATTTTGGTTTTCTTTTGCTTTTTGCATTTTAGGATTGATTGCTTTAGTTCGAGTTTCGGATTAGGGTAACTTTTATTAGGCCATTTACAGGTAGTCCTCAACTTACGACCACTGCTGAGCCCAAAGGTTATGTTGCTGAGCAAGACAGTTGTTAAGTGAGTTTTGCCCCATTTTATGACATTCCTTGCCACAGTTGTTAAGGGAATCATGGCAGTTGTTAAGTTAGTCACATGGTCATTAAGTGAATCTGGCTTTCCCGTTGACTTTGCTTGTCAGAAGGTCGCAAAATGAATCACATGATCCCGAGACACTGCAACCGTCATAAATGTGAGTTGCCAACTGTCTGAATTTTGATCACGTGATCGTGACGATGCTGCAACGGTTGTGTGAAAAATGGTTATAAGTCACTTTTTTCAGTGATGTAACTTTGAACAGTCACTAAATGTTGTAAGTTGAGGACTATCTGTACTTCATCTCAAAGATGCTTTTTCATGAGGTAACTGTACTGTCTTGTTTTTCTTTGAAGACATTTTGCTTCTGATCCAAGAAGCTTCTTCAGCTCTGACTGAAATGGAAGGATTTCTATTCCTTGCAGACAGCTGGTCATTTGCATTCTTTTCATGATTTTACTTGCGATTTTAGGCCTCCATCTCCCGATCTTAACACATCTCTTTTTTGATCTTGTGTTCATAAGAATCACTGTTTAACTTTTACTTGTTCTCTTTCTATGATTGCAGCATAGACCTGGGTCACTATAATACCGATTGATTTACTTGAGATTATTCTATCTTTTTTTGTTTGCTTGAATCCAAGACTTGATATTAACCCCCTTTTATTAGTAATGATAGCTACTCTATTTCTTCTGTGATTTTCTTATCTGCATTGGAAGACCTGATGTTCTTCTGATATGACATGACCTGTTCCCATCCGTTTCAGTTTGTTGATTCCCAGGATGACAACGTTCAGTCTTGACATTTCTGCTTTAACATCCAGTTTGCCTTCATTCACATTTCTGACATTCCACATACCAGTGTATACTGTATGTATTCGTATCTTTGCAGCACTTTTTCCCTTTGCCTCCAGCCACATCAGCAACTGTTCTTTGCGGTTTAACCCGGTCACATTCATAAGCACCAATGCTAATTGTCTTACGCTTTCCCCTGGTACCTCTTGGCACAAAGCTTCATCTCATTATATATTGGCATCGTCCTAGATTCTTGGCAGAATACTGGAATGACCTGTCATTTCCTTTTACTGTATCAGGGGTGTCAAACTCGCAATGTCACATGGCGTGCTGGGACATATCGTGGCTTTTTTTCCATTACTGGCAATGGGGTGAGCGCAGTTTTGGCATGACGCATCGGCCCATGGGCTGGTAGTTAGACACCCCTGTACACTATAGTTTCAGCCTTCATGAGCAATTTTCTCTGCTCTTTACGTTATTTTTGATTGTTATATTTTCTTTCACTTCTGATCATTGCCAGCTTAATCTCTGACAAAATATTAGGAAAAGTAATCAGACATTGGATTTAGAATAAAATCATTTAAAAGTATAAATGAAACTGCTTAGAATCAGAGCTTCTAAACAAGCAAGCATGTGTGTGTGTGTGTGTGTGTGTGTGTGTGTGTGTGTGTGCACAAGTGTGTGAGTATAATGATCAGAAGATATAATAAAGTAAACCAAAAAATGTAATAATATCTGGGAAATATAGAATGATGGATAAATGAGTAACAACAAGAATTATTTAGTGAAAAATGGAATATACCATGATTGATATATTTACAAATAGCAAGAAGGATAAGATTAGATTTTAAGAAGGAAGGAAGGATGTTAAAAATATTATGCCTTAAGTCAAGCCTAAAAGTCTGAAAGCCTGTACACCAGGCTTACTCTTCCTAATATCTTCCAAAAAGATTGGAATTATGATTTTCAGAAATCTCATTCAGGCTGCTAACCAATTTATCCTTTACCCGAGACTTCCATATACATACATATAGATATATATGTAGGTCTTTGGTTATTCGGGTTTTCTCCCGCATAAAATTGGAAGTGTCTTGGCGATGTTTTGACGAAGTCCCATTCGTCATCTTCAGGCTGGTGTTTTCAGCTTTGTGCTTCGAGGAGCAATTCTCGAAGCACAAAGTACGAAGCTGAAAACACCAACCTGAAGATGACGAATGGGACTTCGTCAAAACGTCACCAAGACACTTCCAATTTTACGTGGGAGAAAACCCGAATAACCAAAGACCTACATACAAACAGCCGCGAAAACCTCAGAAAACACAAACACACACACACACACACACACACACACACACATATATATATACACACACACATACACACACACATACATTTAAATGTATATATATATATATATATATATATATATATATATATACATTTAATCAAATGCCAAGTTTTTGTTGGTCAGCACTACCAACATCATCAGGGCTTAAAACAGGTCGATGGGAGTCTCTTTTATAGTACTGGCCAGTTTTTCCAGAAATTAAACAATTAGGATCATTGGATAGACCGATGACAAGGTCTATCCAATGATCCTAATTGTTTAATTTCTGGAAGGCGTGTATTGGCTGTTTTCTTGGCATTTTGGGGGGCTGCTACTCCGCTGTTCAATTCTCTTCCTCCACTCTCCCCCTTTGTGCACAGCTATTATCTATCAACCCGCCACAGGCTCCCACAACCAGCATGTTCATTCCCCCCCCCTTTTGGGGGCATTTGTTTCCTTCGTATGTACCAGTTGTTCACTTCCACCCTATTGGACTTTGGGCTTGCTGTGTCACTACAGCATCAGTAGATTGCCTGTTAGACTCCAATCCCCTACTTGACAGCTCTTGTGCTCTTTTTGAACATGTACAAACCCCCAGGGGAAGATCCTCTGCCGGTTGTTCACAGATATCCACTATTAGATTATCTATGGATTGTGATGTTACTTTCACTCTCGCTATTGTCCTATCTCTCTGGTCTTGTGGCAGGCGAGTAGATCGTCTTTGTTGGGATTCGTGATGTTGTTTATCCCACATTCTCAATGCCTGATGTGCCGGGCAGAGTTCTATGTGCTGGTTTATCGAGTTTTTATTGGAGATCCAAGCCTCTTTGAGTAGGTGGCCTCCTTTAGTGGTGTCTCTGGATAGGGTTTGTACATTGGTGAGGTCAAACTGATGACCAAAATTAGTAATATGTGTCCATACCTGTGAGTGCTGTTTGCACCTTTTAATGGCCAGCTTGTGCTCATGCACCCTGGTCTTTAGTCTTTTGGAGGTCTCCCCAATGTAATTGCAGGAGCAGTTCTTGCAATTAATCCTGTATATCACCGATGATTTTTCTTCATTGGGGAGTGGATCCTTGGGGTGCATGATCCTAGAGCGCAACATCTGGTCCAGTTTATCAGCTACCTTTATGTTGTAGGGGGCTAGTAACCTAGCTGTTGCATCATACACATTGTTGATGTACGGGAGGGGGACACTGCCTGTGTTGACGTCCTGCTGGGTTGTGAATTCTCCTGGGGTTTGGGTGGTGCGCTGTGACGTTTGATGAACCCCACTGGATAGCCATTATGTTTGCAGACGCGGAAGAGAAGGTTCCTTTCCTCAGTTCTTGCTTTGGCTGTGCTGCAATGTGAATCTAAACATTTAAACAGCGTTCTGACGCAGCTTGCTTTATGAGCCACTGGGTGGTTGCTCTTATAATGGAGGGTTCTGTTAGTATGTGTTGGTTTTTTGTATACCCTTGTATGTAGGGTTCCATCTGGTTGACGGCTAACTAGCACATCTAGGAAAGTCAAGGAACCCTGATTCTCCTCCTCTGCTGTAAACTTGATATCCAGGTATACCGAATTCAGTGTGTCCATAAAGCTTGTTTTTTGGCGTCTTTTGATGATGACGAACGTGTCATCCATGTAACGGATCCAAAACTTAGGCCGGTGTTTGGCCATTGCCAATAAATTTTTTCTTGGTGTTCATTTTTATTTGTTTTTATAATATATTGGATGATAACTTCCAACCACTGCACAAATTAGCCATGAATTCTGGGGATTTTAGTCACTCGATAGAACTAGATGGAAAGAAGATATTACGCGGGAGAAAACCCGAAGATATTACGTGGGAGAAAACCCGAACAACCAAAGACCTACATACAAACACCGGCGAAAACCTCAGAAAACAAAGAAGATATTGTATCTACATCTACAGCTTCACTTAATATAATGAAGTTTACTATTAGCAAATATGCATAGAATTATTCAGAAACTGAAGCTAATTGATTCAGCTGATACTAACCTTTTGATTCTGGCAGAGTTCTTAGCTCATAGGTAGGGTTCTTTTCACTTTTCCCGACATTATTCTGGGCTGTAATCTGAACCAAATAGAAGGTGTCTGGCTCAAGACCCTTGAGGTTGTACTGGGTGATGGTGGCATTTTTTATGGTGACATCGATTTGGTTGTACTCAGTCTTGCCAACAATTTTATAGCTGAGAATGATGGAGGAGATGGAATGCCCTTCAGCTGCTGACCAAGAAATAACAGCAGAGGAATCGGTGATGTTCATGATATTGATATTATCAGGGGAAGGAGGAGATCCTGTGAAGAAACAACACCATGTTGTATTTCATATAAATCTTCAGTCCATAAATGTCACAAAGTTCTATTTTCAATATTTCAAACTGACTTTGAATTTTATCTACATGGCCAGAGGTATCTTAAAACAGGGGTCGCCAGCCCCCGATCTGTTAACCGGCACCGGTCTGCAGCATGCCAGCAAGTGGGCCGCACAAACAAGCAAAGCTGCATCCTTGGGATGCAGACATTATTTAAAACCACACCCCCTCTGGTCCATGGAAAAACCTTTCTTCATGGCACCGGTCCCTGGTGTCCAAATGGTTGGGGACTTCTTTCTTAAAACCACAAACTGATAAATAATCATTAAAACCAGCGCTTTTTTTCTCATAGAATGCCCAGAACAGAGTTTCGGTACTTTTTTTGGATGGAACCTTGTAGGGTAGGCAAGGCGGGTTGTATGACATGTATGAGTTCTGGCACCTTTTTTTTTTTATATAAAAAAGCACTGATTAAAACCATGCCATCAATTATTTAGAGCAATGTGTGAACCTAGCCAGTGTCAAAAGCACAAGGCAGGTTGCGACAGGCTGTTAAGACTGTTGCCTGCTTTACCAAAACACAAGCATAGTGTTGTTAAGCAGTTTCCAAGAAAGAGTAGCCTGTGACCCTTCTGCTGATGTTGGAATGATAAAAACTATCATCCTTAATCACTGATCATGTAGACTGGGACTGATGCAGTAACCCCTGCAGCTTCAGAATCTGGCTGCTTCTGTTATGATCCAGGCCTCCAGACAGTCCTTTATTGCTCTAAGTAAATGTTCCAACAAATGGCCCTCCAATAACCAGTAAGGCTCCAGCCCCACACTGCCCTGAAGACAGCCATCCTCAGTCCTCCAAACAGTCCGTATATAACAAAGAAAGTCCACAGAGTAGGAGCATATTCACAGGGCAAGATCCAGAGTCCCAAGTTCAGTCCACTCGGCTAAGTGAGTCCACGAGGAAAACAGTAGTTCACAAAGTAAAGTTAAGGCTCAAGACAAAAGGCAGGGTAGGGCAGAAGGCAGTCCTCAAGGCAAGGGAAGGCAAAAGGCACGAGTCAAAGCCAGGGGAGTTTAAGCCAAAACAAACAATTATTCCTGGCAAAAATTAACTCCCCATTAACTCCATAAGACAATCCACTCCAGGTGTTCCTTGTGAGGAGGGGTGGGGTGACCTTCTCCTGAGTAGCCTCTCAGCCCCTTAGCTTGCCTACACTCCACTCTCAGTGCCCTTGGATCAATGGAGGAGGCAGCTGTTCCTCATCAGAGAGGATTTGCTGCCTATCAACACCACTGCCTATCAGCAGCTGATCCTTCCCTGTGTCTATGAGGGTAGGCAGCTTTCCGTCTAGTTGATCACCTCCCCCAATGCCTGAGGGGCCTGGGACAGCATCGTCTTCAGCCCTTGGCCTCTCCAAAAATGACAAGGGAGACATGCCAGCCCTGTCGGATGGTCCCGGTTCCAACTTCTCCTCCACCTTCAAACTGGGCTCCGATGGGCTCATGACAGCTTCTTCCAGTGTCAGATCATTTAAAGCAGGTCTGTTGAGCTAATAATTAAAATGAATCATGTTTCCCCCCTCCAAGAAAAATAAATATATACTTACTGTCACTGAAGGTCCATGCTGCAAGATAGTCACTCCATTCCCCTTTGGACTTACTATTTATACGGACTCGGCACATGTACTTATGTCTGGGTTGTAGCTTGTCAATAACCAAACTGGTCTTATTTCCTAGGAGTTGTATGATGGTAGTATGCTCCCCATTTACATCCACTACACTTTTATTTTCTACTTCAATGCAAATGTCTTCCTCCAAGTGCTGATTGATTGGCTGCCATGACAGCTTTAGAGCTGTTGTGCTATTAGGGATAAGGCACAGGCCTCTGGGTGGAAAAAGACCTTTAAGAATTATAAGAAAGAACATTAGTATGGCTAGAACACCTATTAACCTAAGAAGATTCTTGTTGGATCATACTAAGAATAAGTAATTAACATATTCTGATTTATGAGCAATCAAAACTGCTAGCCAGACACAAATCATACAGGCCTTTTCTTTCTTTAGATGTCCATAATTAAATAGTCAGAGATGTTCTAACTTTGAGCAATTCTTCCCTATCATAGTTCTCCATATGATGAATTTGGGACATTATTTTATTATCAAATTATTCCCAATGAATCAATTGGAACTTGAGCACTATCTTCTGTCCTCATCCTAGGTCTAGGAGAAGAGGTGGAACAAAAGGAGATCATAGCACCTGTAAGTTTGTGCTCAGAAACGCTGAGATTGCTCTCACATTTTACTCATGTGATTTCAGTGATTGGCAATACTTGAGATTAAATTGAACAATCACTTAAGGATCCCTGTTCTTAACAATTGGATTTCAGTGGCTCATCAATAGTAACTTGGCTCTTTAAGGTATTTGCAATAGGAAATGAGATAATAAGTGGAAAACATTCATTTCACATCTCCCACGTGTGGTGGAGAGGCAGGCAATGGAGGATATGTGAGTAAAGGCCCAACAAAAACATATCTGCCAGAATTTAGCTAGTCTGCAAGAAATACTATGAACTAGAAAGTCTCAACTTTGTTGACTTTAAGATATGTGGACTCCAACTTCCAGAACTCCCCATCCAGCATGGTTGGCTAGGGAATTCTGGAAGTTGAAATTCATATATCTTAATGTCTCCCAGGCTGAGAAACATGGCTAAGGATGCTAGGAAAGTCATACTGAGATGCTGAACTGAGAAAATGTATAATGAGGAACAGGAGTCTATGGGAGTAAATGTTTTGAAACCTTGTTTTATTCGCAACCTGAATGTAAATAGTCCTTGCATCTCAGAAACATCCTTAGTATTCAGTAACTTCTGCCCAAGGAAACTTGCTAAATAGTGGTACTCCTGAAATTCAAATTATGTATAGTAATTACTATGTACAGCAGCACATTTATCACTTGAGGAAGATTATACTTACGTGTGTATGTGTGTGTGTGTGTATGTATATATATATATATGTGTGTGTGTGTATGTAAATATATATGTGTGTGTGTGTGTGTGTGTGTGTTAAATTTGGATTGCCAACCAAGAGTTAAAGGGAGACTAGTATAGCTATTTCAAGCTATTTAGCTCTCATCAGCTAGCCATACCCTTCTGAGATTTGAACCTGGACTGTTTGCACACTAGGCCACTGTATTAACCTGTAGGCCACAGGCTCTTCTCACTTTTGTCAGCTGTATCAGGGAGGGAGGAGACCCAGGGAGGAGATATATATTAAGCATTTTTTTTCTTTTTTTTGAAACACCTGGTATACCCAAATGTTTTTTTTAAAAACCACTTCACACACACACACACACATATTGTTTTCTGAGGTTTTTGTGAATGTTTGTATGTAGGTCTGTGGTTATTCGGGTTTTCTCCCGCGTAAAATTGGAAGTGTCTTGGCGATGTTTTGACGAACTCCCATTCGTCATCCTCAGGCTGGTGTTTTTGGCTTCGTGCTCCTAGAAGCATAAAGCCAAAAACACCAGCCTGAAGATGATGAATGGGACTTCGTCGAAACGTCACCAAGACACTTCCAATTTCACGCGGGAGAAAACCCGAATAACCACAGACCTACAGATATATAGATATAGATATAGATATGTATGTATGTATACTGTATACTGTATATGTGTGTGTGTGTGCACAAAGCAGCTACTGACTAACAAATACCCCCTTTACAGAAGTCCAAAGATTTGCCTACCAACAGCAGCTGTAATGAAGCTGGTTGCTGGACCAGGATGTCCTGCTCCCCCCTCTCCTTTACGAGTGAGGCGAACACATACAAAGTACACCGTTTTTGGTTCTAGATTATTTAGTCGCCAGATGTCTTCTGTGACTGAGTTCCAAAGGAAAAAAAAATAAAAATAACAAAATAATAAGGAAAGTGTTCAATATACATAAACACATTTATTTTGTTCTATTTTCATTTGGTCAAATGAAAATCCCCCCCCCCCCATAAAATAATGCAGAAAACAGTATAACCTATGTATGCAAACAAAACTGGGATAAGGGTGTGCATCACAAACATCATCCTTTATACACACACACAAATGCACACACAAGCCATAATTTAAGAAATCCACAGTTTCCTGGGATTAGACATTAAGATCTCAAGGTTATTTTGAAATTGAAACCAAATGTTTTAAATTGCCTGAAAGTACAGGGAAAGAAATGAAAAATTAAGGGTGAATAAATGAGCTTGTTGTTCACCACAGCTCATGTCAGTTGTGGGAAACTATGTTGTCCTACTATATAGAAATCATATAAGAATATCTAGCCTTTTCCTTTATTTCTATACCAAAGTGCTTTGAGGTGTGGAATTGTATGTACGGTACTATCTGAATCCTGAATAGAAGCAATACTAGTTCATTCAATGCTAGTCCCATGAAAAACAGGAAACTTACACAGCTGCCACACATTGCCTAACCTCTGTTGAGTATTTTAGCATCAGATGTGATTAGAAGCTGCTAGTCAAATGAGCTCAAGAAGAAATAATTAATCTGGAACATAACTCTATATGAGGTTCACTGTTAAAATATTAAACGTATTTTTAACATATAATCAATCTTTGTTAAAGAATATGATGAAACTCCCTATCCCTTGACCAGACAACAAATATCACTATGATATTGACAAATAACAAAAGTAACATTGGTGGACAATAATGTATTTATTTTTGGTTCACCAACCTGGGGATTAAACAGAGCCAGCTCCATGGGTTTACCTGTATTGTAAACGTATATCAGCTGTGTGTCACTATAACTTTCATGGTTTCGCCCCAATTGTCTTGAAAACTATAATAGTTGAAGTGCTGAAAATTCTCTGCTAAAACCATTCATTCATTCATTTCACCAGTTTCTATGCTACCTACCGTTGGCCTCTACGCAGCTTATGGAACTACAGTTTGCAGAACCCTGGAAGCAAAGGACAAGTGCAACATGGATGTGGCCTGCTGTGAAAGTGGAATGTTTTTGGAGAGCAGTTTTGGATGATTTGTTTGATTCTTACCTTCCTCTGACATCCATTGAGAGTTGGCGCGTTTGTATAGAATCTGAGTTGATACAATTGGTCCATCCCCAAAATATGATCCAGCATTTGTTGCAATAATGAGAAAATTATGGCCTCTTTCTATCAATGATGGAGCATTCTGAGGCATAGGAAGAACTGGTCAAGAAGGGGAATAATAAAATATCTATTACAACAGTCTTTTTTGAAAGGAAAAAAACCCAATAAAAATGAGTTTTGTCTGACTGTAGAGTTAAGGCTGAGAGATTGTTAAAGACGATTGAATGACATATTTAGCCTATTGCCTTGTCTTTCTGGAGGGGATCTGAAAACTAAATTCTGAAAATATCAGTTGTCAGAACTCTCCTTTCATATTCTCCTTTATTGCAGCAATTTAGCCTTCTGCAACCAGATTGCCAGGTCTGCAACCCACAACATCCTACTCATTCCTCATTAGCTCAATTTCCCCCCCCCCCCAAGTAGTAGAAGACTCAGAAGGTCAGACCGAGTCCTAGGATGTTTAAAGACACAGATCATTCCTTCCATTTCCTGTTCTCATTCATTTTTCTTCTGTCACACTCCACATTTTTCTCCCGTTTGCTCATTCTCAGCATGTTATTTCCTTCAAGCTGAACTAAGTTGACAAAATCAAGTTTTCCTAAACCGCATGTGACTTGCTGACAATAGTCTTCTCAGTGTCCATTGATTCAAAACTGTTGCTTTCTTCAAAGGCCCTTCCATAACTCCGGCTGTCTGAAACAGTTCTCTGATACCTGATTTTTCTTCTCATTAATGTGCCCCTCCCTTTTTTTGGCTTCTGATAACAGAGGCAAACTCAGAAGGTCCTTGATACAGCTATAGCTCTTATGATTAGCCAAAATCTCCTTTACTATTCTTAAGTTTCAAGAGCTGCTACTGAAATTATTTCTAAAGGCAAGTATTTGGGTATTAGCCTAAGAAACCGTACTAAAATTATATTTATAACACTGAATTTTGGACCTGCCTTACACTTTTTTAAAGACCTAGAGAAAATACTACATTGTCCGACAGTCATGTCAATGGCTCACACATGATAAATAAGCATCAACAGAGATAATCAATCAATTCAGGGACAACCTAACCATTAGACAGTATGGAAGCTGCCTTTGACATCAGAGCTTTCATATTATGGCATGCAAATTGGTAATTACCTAATTTATAGTACCTTTATTGCAGGCTCAAAAAAGAATGGAAAGCCAATTTAGTACAGTGATTAAGGGTGCTGAGCTAGAAAGTGGGAAACTTAGTCCTGCCTCAGGCACAAAGCCAGCTGGGGGATTTTGAGCCAGCCACTCACTCTTAGCTCTAGAAAGAAGAATATGGGAAACCTCTTTTGAAAAATATTGGCATAAATCTGCATGCACTTGTAGTTGCAGGAATCAAGACTGTCTTGAGATACACAAACACAGAGAGAAGAAGGTGTGTGTGTGGGGGGGGTGACCCTTCACATACTTCACGGGTGAGAGAGACTGTGACATTTATTCGTCTGTCTTAGATAGCAACATTTCTTTGAATAACCCTTTGACCATTCTTTGATCTAACCAGAGTGATTTATAAGTATGGCATAGAAGTGAAGTAAGAAATTACTTATTAGAATTTGAGAGCTCCCTCTTCTATCTATCCAAAAGAAATAATCTAGGAAACACTCTCAATTTGCAGAAAGAAACAGGCTCAATCTTTAGTTCTGATTGGTAAGTTTCCTGTGTTCTTTACATTAAAAGACATTTGGGGAAAAAAATCCATTTACAGGTAGTCCTCAACTTATGACCATAATTGACCCCAAAATCTATTTTGCAAACTGAGACAGTTGTTAAGTGAATTTTACTCCATATTATGACCTTTCTTGCCACAGTTGTTAAGTGGATCACTGCAGTTGTTAAATTAATAATACGATTGTTAAGTGAATCTGGCTTTCCCCCATTGACTTTGCTTGTCAGAAGGTTGAAAAAGGTGATCACATGACCCCGGAAGACTGCAACCGTCATAAATATGAGTCAGTTGTCAAGCTTCTGAATTTTGATCATGTGATTGTGGGATGCTGCAATGGTTGTAGGTGTGAAAAATGGGCATAAGTCTCTTTCTTCAGTGCCATTGTAACTTTGAATGGTCATTAAATGAATGGTTGTAAAGATTACCAAGGTCTACCTGTGCATTGGATACTGATGTTGATACTATTTGCAGCTTGCTTCTTTCTTTAATGTTTGCAATGCCGACGGCAACAAGCCACTGACACTTAGCTAACGATTACTGAGATCACTTGAATCTAAATGCACTGAAAATGCTATGACGACACTGGATCTGGATGTTAAACAAACAAACAAACAAATGCAAAATTTTCTCATTTACCTTTAATTGCAACCTGTAAAGTTTTTTCTGCCATGCCAACTCTTGTCTCAGCAACATAGACCCACATTCCAGAATCAGCAGGCTGGACACTTTTAAAAAGAAAAGTAGCTTCTAAAGTTTCCGACGTGTTGTCTTTTTTGGCTATTGTGACAGGCTAGGCAACAACAACAACAAAAATATTCAAATTAGATGTCTACCACAATTAAAAAAAATGTTCTGTTTTTACTTATATCTTTTTTGCCTTTTTTTTTTTAACAAAGCAGAAAAATTAACATTCAAGTAAAACTCATTGTTGATGAAATGTTGAGACCTATCTTTTGTGGGAGGGAAGAAAGGAAGGAGAGGGCAATGAAAATTATACACTGATTTTATGTTTCAGGTTAAAAACATCCCTGTAATATTAACTGAGGATATTTTAATATCTAAAATGGGTCTTGAATATTTGATGAGACAATGCAAAAAGCTTTTGCTTTCATAGTACCTTCATGCTTCCTGCTTTATTGCTGAGATTTTAATTGCATTATTATTATTTACTTTAGTATATAACCCCAGCACAGAGCATGGGTTCCTGAAACTTAAGGTTTACTGAAAGTAGAAATGGGAAGGAGCAAGAAAAATGAAGCAAAAAAGATTCAGTGAATAAGTACAACTATCTCCCCTAACTTATCCTTCCCCCTAAAAGCATAAGATGAGGAACTTACTAGAAGAATGGTTCCATCTTTTTTAATTAATTTAATGTCTTCCTTTGTAGGAGATGGCTTGCCAGTAATTGTGCAGGTCGACTTGAACTCTGAGCCAGCATTGAGTTCAATTTCATTTAGCAAGGTCTCTATCTTGGGGGATTCATCTGCTGTACCTGCATACGTAATGAACCATATTTGTTTATCATTTAATTAGCCCAGATTAAATCAATGAACAATTTCATTATTCAGCAGCTCCACTAGATACACATCTTCAACCAGACTTGAACATGAGTCTTGCTCCTCCTAGTCCAACATCTTAAACACTGCACCACATTGTGTCAGGGAATTGCACAGCAGGTATCCAAATAGGGTCAGAGACACTGACATGAACTTGTAGTTTTATATAAATAAATATACTTTACATCTATATATACAGCAAGCAAGATAGGCAAGCAGGTGCATCATGAGGTAAATCACAGAGCACACAGAAGAAAAAAGGCGGGGGGGGGAAAGGGAAACTCCCCTTCCACACCCACAGCAACCAACCACAGCACAGATTGCCTTGCTGACTTGTAGCTTCTGATCAGAGTCACATCCACAGATGTCTATCTGCTTGGCCTTTGAGTTTGAAAGTTGGAGTTTATTTAGCAATAACAATAGCACTTAGACTTATATACCACTTCACAGTGCTTCAAAACTGCCCTCTCTAAACTGTTTACAGAGCCAATATATTGCCTCCAGCAATTTGAATCCTCATTTTACCAACCTCAAAAGGATGGAAGGCTGAGTCAAACTTGAGCCGGTCAGAATCGAACTTCTGACAAGTCGGCAGAATTAGCCTGCAATGCTACATTCCAACCACTGCGCCATCATTTATTTATTTAGTGCAGGGATCTTCAAACTTGGCCCTTTTATGACTTGTGGACTTCAACTCCCAGAATTCCTTAGCCAGGCACTCTGGCTGAGGAATTCTGGGAGTTGAAGTCCACAAATCATAAAAGGGCCAAGTTTGAAGACCTCTCATTTAGTGTTTGGCAAAAGAGGGAGGTGAAGATACTGCTCGACTTATGACCACTGTTGTGATCAGACTTTCCCCTTGCTAAGCTAAAAGGTTATACATGAGTCATTTCTGATTTTACGCCCTTTTTGTCCTATGGCTGAGTGAATCATTGCAGTTACTACATGAATCATGAGATTCTTAAGAAATCTGGCTTCTCCCATTGACTTTCCTTCCAGAAGCCTGCTGGGAAAGTTGCAAATGATGATCACGTGACTCTGGGACACTGCAACTGTTGAGAATACATACTGGTTGTCACGCACCCAAATCTTGATCATATGAACTGGGTATGCTGTGGCACTGTACGAATGGTTGTAAATCAAGGATTACCTATATACTTCAGCTAAAATCTTTGTGATCAATAAATAGCTATGATCAATACTCTTTGTGATCAGTACTGTTTAAATGGAAGGCAGTCATATTATATATTCATTCTAGGTACCTAACAATCCAAAAAGCAAACAGAAGAAGAAGAAATTATGGGATTCACATAATTGTTTGGCAGTAATATAAGAAACAGACAGGTTTAATCATTTCTCTTCCCTTTCTCTTTTTAATTTAATTAATAGCAGATTCAGTAAGATGGCAACTGTAGTAATTATTGAACTGCTGCCATCATTATCTTTAAAAAAATGTATATTGGAAAGGTATCATTACTTCCAATCAGAGTAGACTGGCCTTCTGCCAATCTAGCTGTCAGTCACAATCCTAGATGTTAATTTGATCCTGGTTCTTAAATTGGGAATATCAATGTTTCATTGAGCTTTTTGCAAGAGGTAATAAAACAATGACATTCCCAATTTAAGAACCAAGATAAATGTAAATGATAAATGTAAATTCATAATCTCCATTCATGTATGCACATACACATGAACATTGGTGTATGTCATATATTGCAACAGTTGTTGGCCCAAATGTTGATTTAATCTTTATGGCCTGAACTTAAAGAATGATACATAAATGGATTTAGGCTCTCATATTTTCTTTTGTTGCAGCAAATTATGACAGCACATAGCGAACTTTGTTTGATTTTGAAGCAGCTAAGCAGGCTTGGATTTGAACAGTTCTTGGCTAGTGAATTTAGGAAGTCCCAAGATTTTAGAGTAGATTGGGAACCTATAACACTGGTGGCACAGTGGTTAGAATGCAGTACTGCAGGCTACTTCTGCTGACTGCCGGCTGCCAGCAGGTGGGCAGTTCAATTCTCACCGGCTCAAGGTTGACTCAGCCTTCCACCTTCTGAGGTCGGTAAAATGAGGACCCAGATTGTTGGGGCAATATGCCGACTCTGTAAACTACTTAGAGAGGGCTGAAAAGCACTGTGGAGCAGTATGTAAGTCTAAGTGCTATTGCTGTTGCTTAGGCATGAAAGCTTGCTGATGACTTTGGGCCAACCACTCCTTCTCAGTCCAACTAACCTCACAGGATTGTTGTGGGGAAAATAGGAGGGGGAAGAAAAAGTAGGTATGTTCACTGTCTTCAGATATTTATAAAAAAAAAAAGTAATCAAAGCAGGATAAAAAAATCTAAAACACTATTCCCTTTAAAGTATGGGGGTCCAACCTTTTGGCTTGCCTGGGCATTGAGTGAAGTGGAATTATCTTGGGCCACATTTAAAATATATAATACACTTAATGTATATAAACCACATAATAATGTTAAAAGTTTACAATCCTGTGGGAGTGCATTTTTAGCTGTCCAGGGGCAGCTAAAAATGTGTATGGCCTTCAAGACACAGGTTGGGCATACCTGCTCTAAAACAACATGGACAGTCTAAGTGATTTTTGTGTATCAAGCATAGCTCAAGGGATTGGAGTTACCGATAATATTATTTTAAAACTTTCTTGCATATTTTGCTCCAATACTTTAGGGAAAGTATATATATCAACTGAATGTATCAAGGCAATTGTCATTTTTATGAAAATTATTATAGCTAAAAAACATTTTTATTACTCAATTTAAAATACAACAGCTTCTAGTTACTAAGCAAGTTGTACACTGTGATACTGTTCCACTGGAGTACTATAGAATATATTCCTTTTTAAAAAAATAATAACAAAAGCTGTGAGTATGAATTGTAAAGCAATATACAGTATCATGTACAGCAATGCTAATAATGTCCTGCTTCCTGGGATATGTATGTTGGTGGGAAGGGTGTATTTATTTTCTCATTCAGAGAAAACGAGGATATAAAAACAGATTTTGAGAGGAGGAATTGCTGGAGGGAAGACCTAAATTCCTTTTTTATGTTGCTCTTTTTCTAATAGTCTGCTTGCTGCATTAAAAAAAAAAATCCCTGAAACTGTTGGATGATGGTTCATGAATCCTCCATAAATTGTTTAGTGTAGTTTTCCTTCATGTTGATTTGTCTTTGAATGCAGGCAATGGCTGGATTCCCTTGGCAATGGGGGATTGCCCATTTCTGGTGCCAAAATTATGCAAAAAATGAAAACTGGTGTGGTATTACAGGGTTACCTTTGCTTTACCTTCTTTTTCACATTGCAGACCATGCCACCCAAACTGGCAGACGCAGCCTTTAAAGCTGTCACATGCTCCTCGATTATTGCAGTGGTTACACTTCAATTTACAATCAGGCCCATAAAAATCAGGCTCGCAACCTGCCAAAATGAACAGCACCAGTGAGCTATTAGGTGGCACACATAGCCACTAGCATTATTCAGTGGATCCCCATACTTTTCGGCCAATGCTATCATGGACTGTCATCAGAATTTTACAGTGAAGTCGAGGCATTGAAAGGGTATGTTCCAAAGGCATATTATACTCTTGGAATTCATATATTTTGAACAAAACCGAACTTTACAGTTTGCTAAATGTTGCGTTCTTCATATAAATAGCTCTTGTTTACCGTATGCAGTTACAAGAATTATGAAAAAGTAACTTTTGGGAGCAATTCTCGCGTTTTCAATCTTTACAGGTCTGTACAGCAAAGGAAAACTGAAGTAAGTTCATAAGCATACTGTTTAGTTTCACTTAACATCCAGTTTAGTGGTCCCAGTTGCAGTCACTGAAGGAGAATTACCTGTATATCAATTCTTCCATGCATATATTGGCTGAAAAAGATGTATTAACTTCCTTAAGGTATCTGTACAATGTTCGGCCAAGAGGCTGACTAGATTATATGGTTAAAAAATACACAGTGGTGAAATAAAATGACCAAATTAGTCTATTGTACTACTGTATTTTTTAGAATTAAAATATATTCTTAGCAAAGTTGTGTTTTCCCTTGCTCCCTACACACACACACATACACACACACACACACACACACACACACACATCGACCTACACAGTTAATTTTCATATTTCATTTTACCTTCATCACACTGGAGTCCCTTCCATCCAGAGGCACATGAACATCCATATGGATCAGGCAAACAGAACACCAAAGATTTGCATCCTGACTTCTCTTTACATTTTTCTTGGCATGCCTTCCCAAATCTGTTTTCTCCACAAGCTTTTTTTTGTGTGTGTAAAAAAAAAAAAAGGACAAAGTTATGAAATATTTAAAGAGGGTCAAAATAATAATATTTCCCAGATTCCTGACAATTGTGGTAAGGAAACTTTATTTTCAAAGTGTAAAAGTAGTAACAGGTATAATCAAAAGCAGAATCCTCCAGAAAGGAAGCATGCTGATAATAATCACCTGATGGACTCAACGTTCAGGAAAGAAGGACAGAATCTCAGGCTGAACTGGTCTACTTTTTTCCCAAGTGTTAAATATTTACTCAAAAAAGCTCTGACACACCGAGAAGAGGGTAACTTCTAGCCAAGAGCTCATTTTTATTTTACCTTGGACGTTAACAGCCATAGTAAGTGAAGCCCAATCACTACCCACCCCTGTTTAGATCATACGTTAAACTTTTATGTCTCCAAGTGCTGGGAAACTAGACTTTATTTATTTACTTGGACATACTTGATAAATGATATGATGATAAGAAAAATAGATAGATAGATAGATAGATAGATAGATAGATAGATAGATAGATAGATAGATAGATAGATGGACGGACAGTATCTTTATAAATACTCTTACTACTTTGATGGCTTCTAAACTATAAAACCTCAAATATAGTTAATATATTCGATATACAGTACTGATCCCCTGTTTTAGGGGAAATTGTTCATCAATACCTGATCATTTTTTCTTTTACCTTTCTCACATGTTTTCCCCATAAAGCCCGGTGGACAAATGCATTCTCCAGTATCCTCATGACAGATGCCATTATTCTTGCAGTCTGGACAAGGAAAAGAACACTCAGGTCCCCATTTTTGAGCTTCACACCCTTTACATAAAAGCATAAGAAAAGTTGATAAGCTAAACAATAAAAAGATCTCAAATAGAATAAGGTTGGGTTTGTAAAGCTTTACTGGAGTATCTCTCAGGATCAAGGGGAGCATAGCATAATGTCATTATAATAATATAATAATATAAATTATTATTTATATCATCTTAGAATAAATCTCTTGAGAAAGAATGGTTTTGTCTCTCTTTGAAATAATTTTTGCTCCCTCTTTTCTAGCCCCCTCTTTGCTTTGTCTCTTTTTTTTCCCCTTCCTCCAGAAGAGGTACAGGAAATATACAAGTGAACAGTGGTTGAACTGAATTCCTTATAGAGGGCACCACATCAATATGATTGTCAGTAAAACTAAAAGGATGTATCCACGAAATCACCAGAACTTGAGGAATCTATCTTGACAGGTTATTTGACAATTGGCTGATAGTCACATGTGATCCTTGATAATTCATCCCTGGTGACAAAATGATAAAATCCTACAAAATGCAAACGCAGTGGAGAGATTGTTACAGTCACCGAAATGTTTTCCAATGGCAAGCAGTTGCATGCTAGGAACTGAAGGACTAACAACAATCAAGATTAAAGAACAAAAACAGGAAGCCAAATACAGGGGATGACAAACATTTGGAAGAACATAATGTATGCTATCTCAATGAATTCATTTAGCCCGGTCAGTTACTGCTGGGTGTGGTCTTCAAAACACAATTTTCGTAACTCAAATTGCATATTTCCTCTTAACTGCTCCATCAAGAAATTTGCTTTGTGTACCAGACCTGAATTACACAGATTAACAGACCATGAGGGTTGCCTGAAATCTACTGCCTCACTTCACTCCTGTTTCTCTTTATTGGGCAATAAAACGAGATGCTTATTAAGCTTCTTTTAGTTTGACTGAATAGACTAAGGCTGAGTTTGTTGGCTGAAAATTCCATGCATCCGGTTTATGTTGATGTTGGATTGACAAACTACCCTCATCAAAATAATACTTTTCAGAAGTTCTTAACCTATTAATATTCAGCTCAAAGAAGCTCCAGGGTTCCAACTGAGAAGACAGTTTTGAGTGTTAATAGTGGAGCTGCAGGACTGGCTGTTTTCCACTGAGAGGAAGGTTTGTCTTCCAGCTTCCTGACTGTCCTTCTTCCCCATCAAAAGCAAGCCATTGTGGCAACTTGCCACATTTTAGATGTACAGCACTTTTTTTTCCCCCACAAAATCATATGGAATAAATATGAGAGGTCAAGCATTGATTAGATGCCATTTTTTGCAGCCCCCAGTTAGTTAGAGAGGACATTGTTATGCTTGTGGGTAATACAGGTAATCCTTGACCTATGATCAGTTGCTAAGCAACCATTTAAAGTTACAACAGATCCCCCACCCACCCACCCAAAGGTGCTTATAGCCAGTGGTAGGATTCAGCCAGTTTGCACCACTTTGGCAGAACTGGTAGTTAATTTTTTGTTGAATGGACTTCTGGAAGTGGCATCTACACAGAGAACTGGTTGTTTACATATTTGAATCCCACCACTGCTTACAACCTGTACTCAAAATTCCGACAGCCCATTTCCTAGCCATGCTTGCCAGGTATGCTCAGCAACCTACTTGCATTTGGAGCATCCTGCGGTCACATAACTGCAATTTATGACTTTTTTTTTTTTGCCAGAAGTCAGTGTTTACAGTACTCGTCCTTTCCAGCAAAAAACACCCATTACAGACAATAGGTTTGCTTAGCAACTGCAGAGTCGCTGAACAAAAAAAATTCATAAAATCAGGTCAGTCGTGTGATGGACCCACTTAACAACCAGTATGACTTACAATTGTAATTTTGGGCTCAATTATGGACATACATTGAAGATTATCTATTTTAAGACTTTTGAGAATGGCAAAGGTGAGGATGTTGAGCAGCGTGAAAATAATTCTGGGGGATTAGTGAGTAAAGCCAGTGGGTGAGTAGAAATATCCCTAACTGAAAGTAAATAAAACTGCAGATTAACTTGTTTACACTTTGGAGATCAGATTTAAACTAGGCATTTTTGTTTGGAAAAAAAATTGCAATGTCTCTTTCCTTAGCTATATACCAGAGCTTCACTGCAGTTTTCTTCTATAAACCTCTTCAGAGATATGCTATAAAAAGCAGGATATGCAGGAAATAGCCTGCTCAAGACTTCAATTGAATGATAAAATGAGATATGGAGGACCAGCTTGCAGCTGTAAGGTGGCCTGATCCAAATTAGGAGCCTGTTTTAGACTGGCATCTTATGATGTATTTTCTTCCAAATGAAACTGACCAGCTTAAGCATACTTTTTAGGTTTTAAAATAAAAGGTTGGCAATATTTCAGCTTGCTTGTAGCAGAACCCTAGAGACAGATAATATCTCTACCCATGACTCAGTGTTAAAAGAACATAACATGAGTAAAGGATTCCTGTTTTAGCTTTCTGTTTAAGGAGTCGATCAAATCTTACTTCGTACAATCAGTCGAGTGTAGGCTGAAGTGAAATGGCTTCCTCCTATGTATCTGGCTGAGTAAACTCCTGCATTATCAAGGTGAACTGAAGACAGGGGTATTGTTAGCAGTTCTGGAACTCTCTTGAGAACAGAATATATAAACGTACCTGCAGTGGAGGAAAAAAAATCCAAAGGTACATAATTGAAGTTGTAGATCAATGAGAATATGGCTACAGCTGCAGATTTTCCATAGCACACATTCCATAGCACACATTCATCTACTTGACATCTGCAGCTTTATTAATATTTTGAGTGTATGAAACAATGAGCATGGGATAAAAGAGAACATTTGTGATTTCTCTTATTTCTTTTGCATGCAGATAAGAGAGCTACTATATTTAATTATTGCTATTACTCAGTTTGGCACTTTTCTTGCGTTATGTACAGATTAGTTAAAGTTTGAAGTGCAAAATAAAACCCTTTGCGACTAGGATCTTCTTCTGGTGAGGCGGTACTTGATTATCCACTCTCAGATTTCCAGATGTCATCTTAATCATTTTAATCAGCTAGCTATATCATTCTTCCGCCATAAAGATTGCACATTTTAATTTGACCCAATTGCTGCTTTCTTAATAGGATGTAGCTGGAATGGGATGTAAAGACATGTTGGCTTGTTTTAGATCAGGGTTCTGGTTCAACCTGAAGAGTTGGTGAAGCCCTATGAACCTCTTTTCAGAAAAATGCATCTAAATGCATAAAATGAAATACATAGATTAGAAAACTGTTATTTTCAAATATGGTTATCAATGTATTAAAAACAATTACAATATGTAGTAATGTATGTGCTTCTTTGTTAACCATTCAATAAATAACAATACAATACCTTTTTAGAGTGTGATAATTTTAGATAATGGGATATATTGAAGTTAATAGTTTTGGTGTCCAGAGGCCATAAATTATTTTGTGGCCTATGTACATTATGAAATGAAAACCTAAATTTCACTAGAGGTTAGTGAATGTTGAAGTTGTACTTTCTCCTCATCTGATTTCATAGACTCTCTGCAATCTATCTATGGTGTCCCAAATTCTCACAAATGAAGAACCCCTGTTTTAGATAGATATTTGGCAAAGGTGTATAGTTAAGTGGCTGCTTCTCCTTTCCCACATTATGCTTACAACAAGACTAAGTAATGTGTATGTACTCTATGAAGAGGCCCATCATTATCATAATGACATTTTTCACCCCACTTCATCCCCACACGTATGTAATAATGGTGATGAGTTTCTCATAGCACAGAATAAACATTGCATACTTCTAGCTGGTCAGATACAAGGTAGTTCTCAACTTATGATTGTATTAGAGCCTGCCCTTTATGTCTGCAAGCGGTGACAGCCATTAAGCCTTGCTTAATGATTTCCATCCCCGAGGCGGCCACTAAATGAAAGCACAGGTCATTAAGCAGAGCACAGGGTGCCACGGGGGAAGGAAGCCTTGGGAGAACTAGTGCAGGTCCAGGCCCAATTGCCTCAGGCCTCCCTCACCTCCTGTGGCATTCTGTGTTCTGCTCCATGACATTCAAGATCATGGCAGGACTTATCCTATTTCTAGCTGGGCCACTCAGCCACCCAAAGGAGCCTAAAGCTGGACAGCAGAAGTTGCTGCAATGGGAAGCCTCAAGACAACCACAAACTGTTCTACAACAGGTACTATTATTGAGAGCCTTTAGGGGGCTCCATTTTAGATTCCTCAAACTCCACCCACAAATGGAGCCCCCTATAGGCTCTTAACAATAGTACAGGTAGTCTTCAACTTACAAGAGTCTGTTTAGTGATTGTTCAAAGTTACAAGGCACTGAAAAATGTGACTTATGACCGTTTTTCATAGTTACAACCTTTGATCATGTGATCAAAATGCAAATGCTTGGCAACTGGTTCATACCATTGCTGTGTCCCAAGGTCACGTGATCACCTTTTGCGACCTTCTGACAAGCAAAATCAATGGGAGAGCCAGATTCACCTAACAACCGGGTTCCTAACTTATCAACTGCAGCGATTCACTTAACAACTGTTGGCAAGAAAGGTCGCAAAATGGGGCAAAAACTCACTAACAAATGTCCCAGTTAATAACAGAAATTTTGGACTCACTTATGTTCCTATGTGAAGGACCATCTGTACCAGCTTGCACAATAGCACGAGGTCACCACGAGGTGGCCTCTGTAGGAAAGCTACAGAGGCCACCTCCTGGCAACCTCGTGCTATTGTGCAAGCTGGTACAGATAGACAAGCAAGCGTGGCAACGTCAGCTGAGCACCTCTGCAAAAAAATAGAAAGGTAAGTTGGGTGCTGCTGGGCCTTGGAGCTGGCTGAGGAGCTGGTTGAGTTCTGCAAGTCCTTGGGTGGCTGGGTGGGGAAGAAGGCCTTGCCCTACAAGCTCTTAACAGCTTCCCATCCACTGATAGCTTCAGCTGCCCAGCTTTAGGCTCCCTTAGGTTGCTGAATGGCTGAACTGGGACCAGGCCAAAGGCTTGCAAGGGGAGATAATTGGGGGGGAGGAATGGAGCATCCCTGAGGTTGGTTATAAGGGTGAACAACAGCAGGAACACTGCAATGGCTATAACTTTGAAACCAAGCTGTAAGTAACTTTTGGGAAGTCTATCATAACTTGACATGGTCACTAAATGACCAGCCTAAGTTGAGGACTACTTGTATTATCCAGAAAGGAAAGAAAAAAAGCACAAATACCATTTTTGTAGATTACTGCATCTTCCTCGTTAAAAACCTTTCTGATGAAGGAAATGTTGACAACTTCGCCCTTGTTTGCTGTAATGGTTAAGGCAACTGGTAGGAATGAAGCTAAAATAAAAATGAAACAAAATAGATTATGGATCTGTTCTTTTTTAGTAAATCCTCCAGCATGGAAATTAGCATAATGGCATACTGTAATGGGGGGATGGGGTGGGGAACTGTGTAACACAATATCTGAATATATTCAGGGATGGTTGATTAATGAAAAAGGATGTAGAAATGTTCTATTTGAAAATGATTCCCAAATGGGACAAAGATATTCTACAATCCAACTTTGCCGATTTTAACTATAAATCTTTTTCCCAAATGAAGGCGAATATACATGCCCCAGGATAATGTTACAGGATCCAATCTGGGTCAGTCCCTGGGACCAGCGGTTTAGTCTTCCAAGCTTTTGGATTTGTGTGGGTAATTGATATATGTGTGTAAATGTTATGTAAATGCTTAACATAGATACATATATGCACAGAAAGGTGTATGCATACTTATTTCCAAATAAGATCTTCCTGGGGTCTCTCCTCTCCCTCTCCTCTCTCTCCTTTCTTGGCTTTTTTGGGGTCTCCCTCCCACTTTGGAACCTTATTCCTTTTGTGTCACTAGTTTAATTTATCCATCTGCTCTTTGTGCTCTTTGCTTCATTATATTGTTAGAAGGCAGAGGAATCCACATTCTTTGATGGGCTCCATTCCAATGTATTTTTAGACTGTGGCCTATATTTGAGTAATTCATTTGTTTACAAATGGCTTGGATTCCTCATTCAGGAAAGAACAATAACCAGGCTTTGTAGCAGGAATGGCTTGTTTGACATCTTAAACCAGGAGCCAATGTTTGCTGAGGGGTTTCTGGCATTTTATTGGGTTTGGTTTTTGAACCATAGTCCAGTGCCTTGAAGCCTACACAATTCCATTTTCAAAAATAACTTGCCAAATGTTACTTGACATCAGGATTAATTATTTGCCCATCTTATCTAAACTTCAATCAAGTTACCCTCCATGAGCCATGGGGCGACTCTAACCAGGAGTTCTGAAGTCACAAACCTAATTTGAAGGCCATCTGTTTTGAAAAAGCTGATCTATTACCAAATTGTCCATTCTGACATAAAAGGATTGTCCATCCCAACCATTTTGAAGGAACTTAGAGGAAACTAAATCAGGGAACTTCAAGTATTTGTGTCAAGTATTTATGATATCACAGGACAGTAATAATAGCACTTAGGAGTTACATACTGCTTCACTCTTTAAGCAGTTTACAGAGTCAGCATATAGCCCCCAACAATCTGGGTCCTTATTTTACCGACCTCGTGAGGGTGGAAGGCTGAGTCAACCTTAAGCTGGTGAGAATTGAACTGCTGGCAGTCAGCAGAATTAGTCTGCAATACTGCATTCTAACCACCGCACCAACATTGCTTTTAATACTGTATTATTTAATAATAATACAGTATGTGTTAATATTTCTTATCATATATGGAATCATAGGGTTGGAAAAGACCTTGGAGATCTAGTCCAGCCCCCTGCCACAGATGTTCCATTGCTTAGTATATATAAAGCAATGGAACATCTTGCCTCCTTACAATATATATTGTAAGGTTTCACTGTTAGGAAATTCATCATTATTTCATGCTCAGTAGCCTCAGTCTGTAATAATAATAAAAAATCTCACTGGAAAGAGGAAATTGAACTGAGGCTCCTAATTTGTCATTCTTCTAATAAGCCAGGAATTCAGTTTGGTTTTATAATCCCAGCTATGTCCCATTCCCTTGAAATGCAATAACTGACAGTAAGATACAAGAAAACCAGCTTTTTCTTATTGAGAATAATAGTGTGTAGCCTAGAACTCTATTATAGTTTATAAGTAAAAACTGAGGAATTAAAACTGGATAGAATTTTAATGAAATATATTACATTTCTCACACAAATTTTGAAGTTTGCTAAGGAGTCAAACATCTATAAACATGTTTCAAAATATAGTACAAACGGATATGCAACAAAATTCCAGAAATTGCTACAGGAAAGGGCGAGAGGTTTATGAGACTATTTTGGTCCTAGACAGTCAGATATTTAACTACACACACAAAATCCCTTGCATGTTTTAACAAAGAAAGCCTTGATGTTTTGGATGATTAGAGAGAGCATTATTTTTAGAAGTTTATTACCATAAACACAATATTTAGTTCATGATCCAACGTGCAAAAACCATATAAAAGAGCTCCGAAGCAACATTTTATATATTTATTTATATAACATTTACATTTTAAATTTAAATGCTTAATGGAAAGCAGGGGTTGCTGTTATTCTGACTTCAAGGTACATTCCAAGGGAGGCCGTATTTTGTTTACAGGATTATCCACTATCCAATTACCCAATCTAAAATTTCTGTCTCCATTGAAATTGAGATTTAAAATGTTTAGATTTGGATGTTTATGGACATTTGAAAAGCTATCATGTTTTGTCTCATACTGGGTTCTTCCCCATGGCTGTATTAATCTGCTTTCTGCCTGTCCATGAGTTAGCACAAAAAAATACCAGCAATGAAGCCAATTACTAGGTTTAATGTGCTGGGCCCTCTTAGATTTAATGAGGCAGGGCTTAAGGTGGTGATGTCCCTTGTCATCACCTGGCAGTAAGAAAAATTATCACCAATTCTTCTCCTCAAGGGAGGAGGCAATATTTCACAATTACTAGACCCATAGGTGTAGCCATCTGTCAAAACCTGGTCTTGAGATGCCTGATCCTTAGAGGCAGCAGAATGGGGATGTTATCCAGCAAAGGAGGAAAATACTGTTTTGCTTATTGGATAGTACCTACTTGAATCAAGAGGGCATATAATGGGGAGGGAGAAGCAAGAGAGGCTTGAAGAATTGATGGCTAAAGAGGTAGTCCCCATTCTGCTGCCTCTATGCATCAGAGCCGCAGTGGCGCAGTAGTTAGAATGCAGTATTGCAGGCTAATTCTGCCAACTGTCAGCAGTTCGATTCTCACCCACTCAAGGTTGACTCAGCCTTCCATCCTTCCGAGATTGGTGAAATGAGGGCCCAGATCATTGGGGGCAATATGCTGACTTTGTAAACCACTTAGAGAGGGCTATAAAGCACTATGAAGAGATATATAAGTCTAAGTGCTATTGCTGTTGCTACTCCCCCACCACTTTTCCTGTCACCTCTGACATTACTTGCAGATTAAGGTAAACCTGATTTCTTTTTTCTTTATCCAAAATACTAATTTATCTTGTAGCCCAAATAGTCCAGTTTGGAACTTATGACAATTGTAAAGGATATTCATATCTGCTCCTACATCTTCTTATAGGACTCCCAGATTTTATTATTTGTTTCCAATTACCAAAACCCTAAAAAGGATCTATCTATATGGTCATTAAGAGTCAACACTGATTTTATGACAACCAATCAATCAAATCCAGTTATTAAAATCCATTTGCAAACATGTATTTGCAGTGGGACTTGGCACATCTTTGCTTATAATATCACAAAGTACCTGTTCGTTGCATCTTCATTGTATATACCAGCTTCATGTTATCTTTGAATTTTCCTTCACAAAAGTATGCTCCAATGCTTTCCCCAGACTTTTCCCTTTGCCATATCACTTTTTTTGCTATCCCTCTCGTTTCATCATCAGCCACGGCCAAGGGGTTTCGATTCTGGCTCATTAAGGCATCATAGTCTCGCCCAATTTTAATAGAGTCCAGGGAACACCATCGAGATGCAATACAAATTAGTGATGTCTCTGAATCGGCCACAGTAGGGAGTGAGTTGATCAATATCAAATCAAATGCTGTCTCTGCATTGCCTGCAACAAAAGAAAGAAGCATTTGAAGAATCCATTTAATTTTACTTCTTTACATTGGTCTTTTATCCTCATCTTTCAGTGGAGCCATAAAAAGCAAAGCAGAATTGGGCTTGGTCAATATTTAGATGGGAGAGTGCTTAGAAGTGCTAGGAACGAAAACCAGGCTGCAAAGTTGAAAATGGACAACTACTTCTACACTTTTGCAAACAAAAAACAAAAAAAACCCCAAAACCCTACATACACATACAGTATCCATGAAGTCATCAGAAGTTCAAGCTCAGTTCAAACAAATATTTAATAGAGAGGGGAAAAGTTCTGAGTAAAAGTGTTCCGTGTGGCTCAGCTTACATGATTCCAATATGTTTTTGTTTTCTTAATTTTATTCAGCTCATGTTAAACCGAAGCCTAGAAATAGCTAAGTCCTGCAACCAGACCTGCCCTGGTACTGATGGCAGTGTCATGATTAATGGAGATTGAACCCACTGGATGGTGATGCCTAGAAGAAGGGAGAAAGCAAAGCTGAAGGAATCACTGTTGCTTTGCTTCTCATAAGCTGCATAGTTGAAGCAGCACCAAATGGTAATATGTCTCAATAGATACAGTAAAGCAAGATGGGGCCATGGATATCAAATGTAGAATTTTCTGCCAATCCATTGGCAAATAGCACTTTAACTCAGTGGTGGAGAAAGGCTGTAGGTGTCAAATTAGCGAGGAGCTTCCTGAATTTTAATGAGGTTAGATATAGAGATCTTTGTGTTTTCTTTCTTTTTTTCTTCTTTCTTTCTTTCTTTCTTTCTTTCTTTCTTTCTTTCTTTCTTTCTTTCTTTCTTTCTTTCTTTCTTTCTATAAACCACATTTTATTCCTACAATTCTTCCATTATCAGTGATATTTAACCACTGATGACTATCACGATTATCATACATATTTCTACAAATAAGGCATTACTTTTCTTCACCATATTTAACAGACAGAAACTGGAGCCATTAGACAAATGACACAGGCCGATTACATGACATGGAGAAAGTTTTGCTTAATTTTGAAATAATTAATGAAGCAACGTAAATGCAATCTTTTAAAATATGACATTTTTTAATTCATAGTCTCAACAAGATTGGTGTTTACTACAGACATTTAGTTGTGGGCGCCCATCCAAGGCTGGAGGCAGGTTTCTATGTCAATATTTTTGCCTTTAAAGTCTGAGGGGAATTAATTACACTGAAACATACTTATAGTTGCTGATCCTACAGACCCAAATCCAGTCCCACTCTGGATAATCCCAGCCAAGATAATTTGCATTGTCTAATAGAGGAGGAACATTTTCTGAGAAGAGCAGGCTAGACATTGCTATAAACGCTTTAGACAGTATTGTCCATTGAAAGAAAATCACATCTAAATGCTCTGGCTTCAGTAATGATAGCCATTGTGGTTGCTGGGGTTGTTTTTACACTAATACCTTGGCGTGTCAGTTTCTAGTATGTATTAATTATGGATTGAAACAGAGCAAAGCATATTCGTAGATGTTTCTCCCATGATTGGCTTCTGCTATTAGCCTCCATTCCCTTTACCTCTTTCTTCGCTCAGAGTTACTATGTTTCCCCCAAAATAAGACCCAATTGGAAAGTAAGCTTTACCATGATTTTTCAGGATGCCCATAATATAAGCCCCACCCCCCAAATAAGCCCCAGTTAAGTCATCAGCTAGACATTGCATTTAGTACCATATTTCCCTGAATATAAGCCCTAACTGGAAAATAAGTCCTAATGTGTCTTTTGGGGAAACACAGTATTTAGAAGTGTTGCAGCTAGACTTGCTTGGGAATTCAAGATCCTATGGCCTTCTGGTGCCTGGAGTAATTCTGTGGAAAAATATTTCCTTCACAGTGATCTTCATTTGCCTCCTGCTCCTTCCTCTTCCTTTTGCTACTATAAGTAATTTTAGCAGCAGAGGAGATCATGATAATCATGATGATTCAATACCTTGTCAAAGGAGACATGCATTCTCTGCATTATTTATTTTATTACATTTTCATCCCACCTTTATTACTTTATAAGTAATTGAAGGCGGCCCGAACATACTTAATATTCCTTCCTCTCCATATCTTCCTCACAACAACAACCTTGTGTGGTGAATTGGGCTGAGAGAGAGAGAGTGACTGGTCCAAAGTCACCCAGCTGGCTTCATACCTAATATCTTTACAAAAAGGAGAGTGTTTCTGATTAAAAATAGGAGAAAAAACATACTCCCATTGGTTAACTATTTTTAGATCTGAGATAAAGTTCCTCATGATTAGCAGTTTTATACTGCTTTAATTTATACTGCTTTAGTTTTCAGGGGATGGGAAAGAATATTCTCCCGGCATCTAAACAAAAAGAAATTTGATAAAATCTGGATTTTTTTCCCTAAAAAAATAAGTTTATACCATATACAGCTAGGTAGCAAAACCCCTTAACATTTTTTAGGGGACTGTTTCCTGACTGCATCGATTCACCAATCATTTACGTTCTGTAGACCTGCATTACTGTACTCATCTCATTACATTTGCTTCTCAACCTTTCATAACATCCTGACATGGTTCAGACAGCAAGTCCGGTAAAATAGAAATGGATGCCTGCATGCTTTGCATGGCCTTTATTGATGATCCTCATTCTGCCTCAGGAGTGAGGCTGGCAAGTAGTGCAGTCCTTACAAATTTAGCAAAGTGATTGGCAGTTTCCTCCTTTTGTTTTTCCTCCTCCTTGTTGGTAGAAAAAGCACCTACCAATCATATTCCTTAATATATGATGATATGGGAACAGTAAGTGGTGTTAGATATAGGTAGTCCTCAACTTATGACCACAATTGAGCCCATGTTTTCTGTTGTTAAGTAAGACATTTGTTAAGTGAGTTTTGCCCCATTTTATGACCTTTCTTGCCTCAGTTGTTAAGTGAATCACTGCAGTTGATAAGTTAGTAACCCGGTTGTTAAGTGAATCTGGCTTCCCCATTGCAAGTCTGAAAGTACCGGTAGTCTTTGACTTACAACCTACACTTAGCAACTGTTTGAAGTTACAGCAGACCCAGTGGTGGGATTCAGCCAGTTTGTACCAGTTCGGCAGAACCGGTAGCTAATTTTTTTTTGCCCAGGCCCAGAATGGACTTCCAGAAGTGGCATCCACACAGAGAACCGGTTATAAACATATTTGAATCCCACCACTGAGCAGACACCCCCCCCCAAATGACATAGTTTCGAAGATCCGATTTCCTTTCCCCATGTGCATTTGGGTGCCCAACAGTCAGCACACATTTACGACTGTTTGCAGCACTCTGTTGTCACAGGACTGCAATTTACAATGTTGCTTAATTCCAATTTCTAGCAAAAACTGCCCCTTAGCTAACAATAGTTTTCCTTTGTTAAGCAGTTGCCACAAAAAAAGATCATAAATTGTGTCAGCTCATGGGGTGACCTGCTTTATGACTGTCCCAACTTATGTGGGGCTCAATTATGGTCCTAACTCAAGGATTTCATGTACTTCTCTCCCACATCCCCTCTCCAGCCCCCAAAACTAGTTAGGGTTCCTTCTGAGCTGCTGGCCCTGCCCACATTCCTGCTGTGGGCTAAGTTGCCTTTTATCTGCCCATTCAGTTCCCTTGACCATGACTCATTGCCCTGCTCCCCAGATCAGACTACATACCATTGCAGCTGGGCTATTTATTCTGAAAGAATATCAAGGCCAGCAGATCATAGACATGAACTAGTGATGTGGAAAGAACCAGGAGTGAGCAACTGGGAACAAGCAAGCTCCATCTTTCATGAGTACAACAATGATGGTTAGGCTAGCAGCAGGAGACCATGGTTGATGGCACCTCAAAGTCTTTGAGTCAGCAAAGTAGTGTTGGAGTAGACAAAACGAAGCACCCTTCAAAATAATGACAACAAACATGGCCACACAAAACCCCTTGTTAGCAGAGGCAAAGAGCACCCAAACAATAATTCCAAGTGGGGAGGATCTACTTGCAGCCAACTAAAGTGGCCAACAGGAAATGGGCACATCCCAGCTTCTGAGCAGAACACCAACCTAATCAACAACGAAGTATCCAAGATCACATTCATGGAAAAAAATTGTCAGGAAGACAGGGGGAAAAAATATCCTACTTTGAAACTAGAATAGCTAGGGAAACTTTAGACTGTTTCAGTTGTGGGCTGGAGTTATGAAGAAGGCAAGAGACCTGTCATATGAAAACAATTATTGGGGCATGTTCATCCTGTGTTTATGTGGATGTGAAGATGAGCTCATAGTTTTTTAGATAATTTTTTTTCTTCGTGCAAGGAATATGCAGCAAAAGAAGCCAAATGTATTAAGTTGTCTTCATCAGATGGCTGCTGAAGATGAAGACACAAAGCCAGAGCAAGATGCAAGGTATTTGAATTCTGACCTGAAGAACTAAATAGCACATCATCCATTCCAAGTACAGTGACCTACTAGACTGGCAACTAATTTTAACATTGAGGATGGGATAACATCTTGCAGTTTTCTTCTTGGTCAAAGAAGATTTACTGAAAGCAGTAATTTAAAATGGACTGAGAAATTTAGCTATTGTGTTGACTTTTGAAAAATGCAGGCTAGTTCTAGAACTGCCAGATACACTTTTCCAAAATGTCCATATACAGAAGTTAATATCTATAGGTTGCTAGTGCCATAGAATTTTCCGTCCCAATTAATTACTTAGGTGATACCCAACTAGGTTGCAGGATATGGACAGTTTTATCTTTCAGGATCTTATTGTTGCCTACCAACCTAGGACTACCAGCACAAATCCAGACAGCCAGCAGATGGCAGCAAAAAGTATTTAAGCTAAATCAGGATATTTTTTCTCTCTACTGTATCTGCATCTGAACAATAACAAACATTGCTCAGCAATGATCTCTTAAAAATGGTGGGATCTGTTCACTAGTGGGATTCAAATATGTGAACCGGTTCTCTGTGTGGATGCCGCTTCCAAAAGTCTATTCTGGGCCTGG